ACATCAATTTATTCTCCAACCATCAGTATTTTGAGAGCATTCATTCTCTGCACCCTCACTAACACTGAGCATTAAAACTAATAATTAACCCTCCCCCCAACTTTAATTTGAAAAATTTTGAAAATTCAGGAAGATTGAAAATATAGCACAGTGAATGTCAATATACCCTTCATCTAGATTCACCAAATGTTAACTTTTTGCAACATTTGTTTTCTTTTTCCCCCTCAACTTTTTAAAGTGAAGTAATTAATTCTTAATATATTGATATATTCTGTGGACTTCAGCCCTAATTTCAGTAATTCTATTGAATATATAGCATTGCTCATACCACAGCTTACAGTTTTACTTTAGTCACTTACCAACCTTTGGACAAAGGAGAAATTCTGTTTTCAATGGCATCATGGAAGTATTATGGATTGTGTTTAAACTTTAGTATATTTCTTTGATAAATAGTAAAAAAGTATATATTTTAAATGTGTGTGGGGAAAACATAAATAACATAGCTTATTCTTGAAAATAACAGAGGCTCAAATATTTCATTCAGATTTACCTATGCCTAATGGGAAAAGTGATGTGGAACTTCATTCTCCACCTGCAAAGAAAACAAAAATAGGTTTTTTCCAGACTTATGATGCAGAATATTTAAAAGTTGGTTTTATTATCTATCCGGGATCAAAAGAAAGTTTACCAAGGCCACAGTGTGTCATTTGTGGAGAAATCTTACCTGCTGAAAACATGAAGCCAGCAAATCTTTCTCATCATTTAAAGACAAAGCATTCAGAATTAGAAAACAAACCAGTAGATTTTTTTGAACAAAAATCTCTTGAAATGGAATGTCAAAACAGTTCTTTTAAAAAGTGTTTACTAGTTGAAAAGTCACTTGTGAAAGCTTCTTATTTAATTGCTTTCCAAATTGCTGCCAGCAAGAAGCCATTCTCCATTGCTGAAGAGTTAATTAAACCATATTTAGTAGAAATGTGTTCAGAAGTTTTGGGTTCAAGTGCTGGAGACAAAATGAAAACCATCCCTCTTTCTAATAATACAATTGGACACAGGATTGATGAACTGTCTGCAGACATTGAAGATCAGCTGATTCAAAAAGTCAGGGACTCAAAGTGGTTTGCCCTTCAGATAGATGAGTCTTCAGAAATCTCCAACATCACCCTTCTTTTGTGCTATATTCGTTTCATTGATAATGATTGTAGTGATATAAAAGAAGAATTATTATGTTGTATTGAAATGCCTTCTCAAGTAACTGGTTTTGAACTATTTGAACGAATAAATAAATATATTCATAGTAAATCTCTGAATTGGAAACATTGTGTTGGTTTCTGTACAGATGGGGCTGCAAGCATGACTGGCAGGTATTCTGATTTAAGGGCAAAAATTCAAGAAGTTGCCATGAATACACTGGCATTTACACATTGTTTTATTCACCGTGAACATTTAGCAGCAGAAAAGTTGTCTCCATGCTTACATGAAATTCTCTTGCAATCAGCGCAAATTTTAAGTTTTATAAAGAGCAATGCTTTGAATTCACGTATGTTAACAATTTTGTGTGAAGAGATGGGGTCCGAGAATGTGAATTTACCACTTCCTGCTGAAGTACGATGGATATCGAGAGGGAGAATTTTAACAAGATTATTTGAATTACGACATGAAATTGAAATTTTTTTAAATCAAAAGCATTCAGATTTGGCCAAGCATTTTCTTGATGAAGAATGGGTTGCAAGGCTGGCCTATTTATCAGATATCTTTTCACTTGTAAATGAACTAAATTTAAGTCTCCAAGGAACTATGACTACGCTTTTTAATTTGTATAATAAAATGGATGTATTTAAGGAAAAGTTGAAAACGTGGTTGAAGCGTACACAAGAGAATGATTATGACATGTTCCCTTCATTTTCCGAATTCTCAAACTTATCTAGCTTAAATATGAGAAGCACTGCAAGTGTTGTCTTTCAGCACCTGGAAGGACTTTCTCAAATGTTCAATGACTGTTATCCACCAGAAGAAGACCTGCGTTCTGGAAATTTGTGGATAATTAACCCTTTTATGAATCACCAAAATAGTAATCTCAAGGACTTTGAAGAAGAAAAACTCACACAGTTATCTTCGGATTTAGGTTTACAATCGGTATTTAAATCAATGTCTGTAACCCAGTTTTGGATAAAAGCAAAGACAAGTTACCCAGAACTCCATGAAAGGGCAATGAAATTTTTATTGCCTTTTTCAAACATTTATTTATGTGATGCTACATTTTCAGCTTTGACTGAGTCAAAACAAAGAAATCTGTTGGTTTCTGGCCCTGCCCTAAGACTTGCAGTCACATCTTTAATTCCAAGGATAGAAAAATTAGTAAAGGAGAAAGAATAGTAAATGTATATATTGCTTATCAAATTCTATAATTTTGTGTTAAATTTTGTATGGGATAAGTATCCTAAAATATAATTTCCTAATGTGATTGTGTGTTTTCAGTGATTAAATGTTTTAATAACTTTTCTCTTTTTGTTGAGGAATTTAATCATTATACATTTATACATAATTGTATATTATTTTAAGAGCCCAAGGTAGAGAATTTAGCTATTTTATTGGTTGATCAAATAATTTAGATTAGTGATAAAGATGTAGGTAATGAAAGGTCCAATTTATAATGTAATAAAAAGCACACCTGGATGTTGAAACTGCTTGGCCTTTAGAAGCATGTGGGACATGTTAGTCTTTAGCCACCCTGCCTCCTATTATAGCAGGTTGTGGGTAGGTAGAAAAAAAGATCTAAGGAGCTTGGCTAACAGGAAATGAAAGCAGCAGGAGAGTTTGAGACCCCTGTAGGGGGCCTCTCTGGCCCACTAGACCAGGGTTTGGCAAACCTTTTTCATAAAGGGCCAGATATTGAATAGTTCAGGCTTTGCAGGCCACTGATGGCAACTACAGTACTCAGTTCTGTGGTTGCAGCTTAAAAGCAACTGTAGACAATACACAGACAAATAAGTGTGGCTGTGTTTCAATAAAACTTTATTTATGAACATTGAAATATGAATTCATATAAATTTCCTGTATCATGAAAGCTGCCTTTAAAAATTTTATTATTAAAACTGGTAAACATTGTTAGCTGGGGGAAGAAGAGGGAGTAAAAACCAAAACAAAACAGACAAATTTGGTCCAGTTTGCCCATCCAGATCTAGACAGATTTCCAGTTAAGATCAGATGGGCCAGCTGTGAAAGCCTGTCTTCCCACAGCTGTAAGTATTAACAGCAAAGGCACCAAATGTTAGACTTCGGTCCTTTAGTTAGGCTAAGAAAAGAATTCAGAGCCAAGGAACTCAAATACAAATGAAAGTTTATTTAGAAAGTCACGGGGTAAACGAAGTGAGCCAGCTAGGCTGTGTGGACTCTGGAGGCAAGTTACAGAGGCAAAAGAAGCGCCCTTGGAGTTTGAGAGAAAGGCAAAGAAAACTGGCCTGGGGAAGACCTGGGGCGGGGGTGGAAGTGG